AGAGAGAGAGAGAGAGAGAGAGAGAGAGAGAGAGAGGGAGGGGGGGAATATACTTCTTCTTGGGAGATATTGCGCATGCGCCTGCACCGTTTCAGACGTGCCGTACGGCCTAAATAAAGGTACGTAATATAGCTTGCTGCGGGAGAGAGGGGTGGGAGACTGAGGAAAGATGGCAGGGAAGACAACCGAGGGGCGGTGGAAGAAGAAGGAGGCTGAGCGTGCGACAAGGGAGACAAGGGGAAGGGCGGGCGGGAATGAAGTAGTAGTTTTGCACCCTATTAATTGGCTAAGGCGCTCTCCTAATTATAAACACAGGTCTACTGATAATAATGTATTACAGAAACCTATGCTATGATACCCCCTGACCATATTAAATGCATTTTCAGCACAAAATATAGCTCCTCTGGTGATATATTGCGCATGCGCCCAAACAGTAACCTAGCCAGATCATGTACTGACTGGTATATGCAGCGGAGACCTTACATGCAAGGTGTGCTTCCTATTTCATAAGTGAGGTCAACTGATGGAATATTATTATATAGAAACCTATGCTGGGATAACCCCTCTTTATTTTAAATTCATAATTTTGGCAAAAATATTCTTTTTCTTGAGAGTTATTGCGCATGCGCGAGCACCGTTTCCGACGTGCAGTACGGCCTAAATAAAGGTACGTAATATAGCTTGCTGCGGGAGAGAGGGGTGGAAGACTGAGGGAAGGTGGCAGGGAAGACAGCCGAGCGGCGGTGGAAGAAGAAGGAGGCTGAGCGTGCGACAAGGGAGACAAGGGGAAGGGCGGGCGGGGATGAAGTAGTAGTTTTGTACCCTACTGGCTAGGGCGCTCTCCTGATTATGAACACAGGTCTACTAATAAGAATATTGCAAAAACCTATGCTGAGATACCCCCTGACTATATTAAATGCATATTCATTAGAAAATATAACTCCGCTAGTGAGATATTGCCCTTGCGCTAACATACTAACGTAGCCAGATTGTATACTGGCTGGCATATGGAACAGAGACCTTACATGCAAGGGCTTTTTCCCACATTTTAAGTGAGGTCTACTGAGGGAATATATTTTTTTTATTTAATATGATTACGCAGCAGATAACCCAGAGGTATTTATAGCGCAATTAGCAAAAAGCAGCCAGATATTAAAGCGGGAATAATACAGACTAATAATACGTAACAGGAACAGCCAATATTAAAAAAGCAGTAATAACCTGCGTAACATTATACATTGATTGTGTACTATAAAGTTGCATTACATATAGGATATATGACGCAATTAGGAATAAAAGCAGCCAGATATGAAAGCGGAAATGATACAGAATAATAATATAGGTACCAGGAACAGCCTATGATATTCTAGCACAATTAGATGACAAATTAACAAAAGTCACACATTAGCAACGCCGAGCGTCGATAAACGTATTGAAGAAAAGTTGCGAATACAGTTGTATATACATTATTATAAAGTTACATTGCGTATAGTATATATGACGCAATTAGGAAAAAGCAGCCAGATATGATTGCGGAAATAATACAGAATATTGCGTAACAGGAACAGCCAAGATAAGAATGCAGATATCATAAGCTTTACATTATAAAATTATTACTATGATATTATAGTACAATTAGATGAAATAGAGATGTTCTATGTACATCTAGAAAGACGTAATATCAACGAATGAATGAAAACTAAAACATGCCAAATTAACTTGAATGACGTATGAGCGCCCCCAAGCGTCGATATACGTAACTAAAAACAAGTTGTGAATATACATCATTATAAAATTACAGTATAATTATACAGGATATATGGCAAGATTAGGAAAAAGCAGCTGGACCTGATTGCATTATAAAATGATTACTATGCTATTCTAGTTCAATTAGACGAAATATTGGTACAAGGCGATAATATAAACGAATACTCATTAAATAAGTTTATTAATTGGTAGACTAATAGATATAACATGGTTAATTGTTACTCAACCGTGAAGATTGGAAACGTACAGCTTACGTTAAGCTTTGAGATAGCCTCCTGGCAGGAACGTAAGCGGTACGTTTCCAATCTTCCCTGTTATATCTAAACGAATACAATGCAATAATAATGCATAACAAATAACATGACCATT